CCACGTTGTCAGTTTTAACGGGATAGAAAAACTATCATTAGTTTTAATATATATTTTAGTTGAAATTCTATGTTGATCTTTGTTGATGACCTTTTGAATTAACGTGATATAATCAATGTTGTACAGTAATTACATTTTCCTTTATACCAATTGGTGGGAAATGTATTATTCTATACTTTAATACTAAAAACAAGTATATTTAGTTGGTAAAATTTGTGGGCATAAATATTATCCCCCACCCCATATTATTCAACCAAATTTTAATGCTGTACAAAAACTGCTACCTATTTTTGATGTCGGTTTACAGGCACTAGAAACCAGTAATTGCTTGAGTAACAAGGCATTTATTGAAGATTAGACATAAAGGTAACTAAAAAAAATGACAGGTATAAAGCAGGGTTGGGGTGGGGGGGGTGCACCTTTTCGGTTCGTGGCGCCTGGAGCAACAACTCAAGTAAGCCTCTTCGTCTATAAGTCTTTTGTGAGAGTCGAGCTCCCATCCTCACTAAGGGTTCAAGAATGGAGGCGTTTAGATGTTTTCAAACTATAACCTGATGATGCACTCAAAGGGAATGTTGTGCTCTTGCATTTCCTGTTGGTGGTAATCGATTATCAGGGTGAATTTTGCCACTAGCTGCTTTCTTCTGATACTTAAAGCTTGTTCCCACTTTGCGGAAAACCTGCCGCAACGCAACGTAAAGAAATGCTCCTTCGGCAATTTCGTATCTCCCTCCTTCAACAATTTTTTTAGCAGATAGGCCTTTAAGCCCTAGATCTAGGTGCGTTTAATCAATTATACAGTTTACATTTATTTAATTATTAATATAACCATTATCTAATAATACTGCCCCTAGGCCTCATTTTGAAATGTACTGTTTTATTGTATTGATTTGGCATATTAAACTAGATATTTATTTAGTTTAACATTGTTTGCTTAATGTTTAAATACAAATTGTATAACATTTTCATGTTTTTGTAAATATAGGATTTAAATTTTGTTTATGCAGATCTGTATAACAAGTAGCATAAGTATATTTCCATATAACATGATTAAAAATACTGTACATTAAAACAATTAAAATAAAAGCTAAAATGAGAGTCGAACAGAGTGCTAGACTCAGAAAAATATTTAAATCCATGTAATATCAGGGGTGTCGCCAGGATTTGTACGACGGGGGCGACGGGAGGAAGGTCCGATGTCTCTGACGGGTGGCCCATCTTCGACGAAAAGAAAGTAGGCGTGGTCGGACGTCGCTCAAAATCTCTCGAAATATGGCAATTAAAGGGTTTCAAATGCTTATTAAATTGTAATCGATTTTTTCTACTAATAGGCCTACGTAGAAAATACATTTACATTTATATTTTTCTCCCCAACGGGAGGGGGACCATATCTCCCCAACGCGGCCCTCCCCGGTCCCCCTCTGGGCGTCACCCCTGTGTAATACTATATATAATTAGCTGTTTTTGAAGAAAGGTTGGGTAAGATGCGTTGCATATAAATATTCATGTTTACAGTATTATACAGATAGGCATATGCAATGCAGTAGAAGAGCACTGTCGAAGACCCATCCTCGACGAAAAGAAAGTTGGTGTGGTCGGACGTCGCTCAAAATCTCGCGTAAATATGGCAATTAAGGGGTTTCAAATGCATATTTAATCGATTTTAGAGTCTACTAATAGGCCTACGTAGAAAATACATTTACATTGTTTTTCTCCCCAACGGGAAGGGGGAGGGGGCATATCTCCCCAACGGGGACCTCACTAGTCTCTCTCCGTGCGTCACCCCTGTGTAATATATAAAGTTGTTTTTGAAGAACGGTTGAGTAAGATGCGTTGCATATAAGAATTAATGTTTACAGTATTGTATACAGATAAGCATATGCCATGCAGTAGAGCACCGTCACAGCGTCTCTATCGAGACCAGGCTAGGCTATAGAATGTAGGTTATGAAAATAATAGTAGCAGCAACATCATTGATAAAAGCAGCCAATAATAATTATTATTTATAGGAGTGATGTTTTGCCCTACCTGACGTGTAATCGTACTGAATACTCAGTACGTCCCCAAATACTAGCGAAAAAAATTCGCAAGTCCAGCTGTTTGGATTGCACATTTAGGTCATTTGAATTGAAACTCTGGTTGGATATTTGCTTATGTAAAGAGCACATTCGGTATCTATATACTAATTCTGCTAATCGCTGTAACTTCACCTATCTCCTCTGAAACCTTGTGGAGTGTGCTGCGGACATTGTTAAAAAGGGGAACATAGTGATGAAGAGAAATCAGGAGGGAAAACCGACTAATTTAGATACAGTACTTATTTTTTAAAGATATACGGTAAAATCATCAGTCAAAAACACAGGAAAATACCTCAAATTAATAGTTCATAAAAATAATCAAATAATTTATTATTAGCTTTTAACGAGAAACAGATCGAAAAATGAGTAGGCCTATTGTTTACATTAATTTTAACACAACTTAAATTTATTACTAGCCAATTTAAGGATCTATGTAAATGAACAGGAAAGTTATTATTTAACTGTATGAAAATTGAGGGGAATTGTGTTTATTTTCTCCTGCACATTTTTAATTTGAAGTTAGAACTTGCTTATATATACAATTTAAGCAATTCAAATGTGAAATTGAAAAAAATCCCTTTTTTACTTCATCACTGTACAGCTTTAAATAACTTCATCACTGTACAGCTTTGTTTGATCGATATAAGTTTTAAGCTGTGATTTGTATTCTAATAAATATACTTATCTCTACTCTACGCTCAATTGTTTGATTGCAGCTTTGAAAAAAAAATGATATATCGCAGTTTGATAGCAATTTTGACCTCATATTTTGAGGTAATGAATTGGTTATCAGTCCTTTTATATTATTTTCTTGGTTTTTTTTTTATTACTTAAAGTTTAACTTGAAAAATATTATAATAAAATAATAAATATGTGTTATATGCTCTGGTTAAAACAGGATAATTAAAATATACATTTATGGGGAATAAAATAAATTATTAATTATAATAATAATTTATTCCTTTTTTAAATAGCAACAGCAAAGTTTTTAAAATCCTCATTAATATAACAATTTAATAAATATAATAAATTTCAAGCCCAATGCATTTTACAACAATAATAATTTTCTCTTAATTCATGGACAAACTTACAAATAATAGTTAGACAGCCGTCTCTTGAGATAATTCAAACACAAACAAACACACAAAGTCAATAAAAGACACCTCAGAAGTCGGGAAAGCTCATTTCCCGCCATTTAGGAATCAAAATTTTCCAGAGGGAGAACCCCTGCACCCCCTTTCTTTTTGAGATTTATCGATACTTGAAAAAAGAATACGTATGCAACTCATTTTTTTATGTATACACTACCGATTCACATGTACAAAAATCTTGCCAAATGTAACCAAAAGTATCATTTTACGGCACGTGTGAAAGAACCTCCGTGTAATATCTTTGTAAAATCTTGGAATGTCTCGGTAATCTTCCGAGATATAGCATGGATGGATCTGCGCATGCGCAGGAATTTCAACGCAACAACAATCTGACAGCGTGACCACTGCTTGGGTATTTACCCAAGATCTTGAGTATCTTGACTTGGTCTTGGGTTCTTGGGTAATCCGTTAAAATCCTTGGGTATTTTATTTTTACTAAAAAAATTAAATATTTTTGTCATGAGGAAGAATTAAAATGTAACAAAGTATATTTCAGTCCATTCAAGTAAGCAAAACTCAACGAAGTGCACATAACATTGTTCAGAACATGCGTTCAGAATTGTTTATAATTTGTGATTTGCGTTGCCATTGATCTTATCTAATTAATGCATTACATAATAAAACTTGATCACTGATCTACTGATAACACTGGCCGACTGAGGGCGTATTTTTCTGTTCGTATTATCACCTCATGAATAATAATTTTAATAACTAACACAAACAATTACAATAAAAATTGGTTTATAAATTAAAATAAAAGGGAAACTATACATGCGAAAAACACGTATTTTTCAAATTTTTAATGCATTTTCTGGAAGCTTGGGTAATTTTTGCTGAATCTTGAGTAATTTCGACCCAGTCATTGGCTATATCAAAAATTGTGAGTGGTCACGCTGTCTACTGTGTTTTTACGGGGTTCTTTGAATTTTCTTCCTTCTGCAGACGATTCCGATCCACTAGAACTAGATAGGCCTAGTTTTTTTCCAATGATGGATGAATTACCCTTGTTATCGATGTTAATTAGTAATGGTAGAAAAAGAAGATATACATAAATGAACGTCGGGATGGTGTTAGTACTATTAGTATTATCAAGAGTCGACAGAAACTTCGGAAGCTAGGCCTAGTTTAGTAGTAGTACAGCAGTTGTTAATGGCATTGATTGCTTCGAATGTTACTGTGATGGTGAGTCCGTCTGTGAATAAACACGGAATAAATTTTATACGCCCTTGTCACTTAGCTTACAGACGCGTGTGAATGATACCTCGGTAGGAATAACTCGGGAGATGGCTCGGTTACAATTTTTAACTTTTCGTTAAATTTCACGTGTGAATATATGGTATTACTGTAATAAGAATGACAAAAATTAACTTGACCATTTTCAAGAAGTGAAAACTTTGAATTTTAAAGAATTTTAAATTAAAGTCACTTCAGAAGTCGTGAAAGCTCATTTCCCTCCAGTGAGAACCTGAATCCCCCTTTCACGTTGGGTTTCATTGATTCATGGAATCGTTTTCAAGAGGGGGAAACCTACCTTCGTTGTGTACTGCAAGCATTAATACATAAATTACATACTATCATTTTTATTCTGCATGTAATATTTAATTATGTTATGATTAATAGTTCATAAAATTAGAATTTAATTATTTGACCAAATTTATATATTTTTTTCCAGAATTATAATAATTAAATGAACAATTAAATATTTTGATATTTATGGTGCATTTATATTTTTTCATCCTAAATCTAATTAATGCAATTTATTTTACTATAGAAATTTTGAAGAAAATTTAGACATTGCACCTCTGCAGCAAGTGGACCAGACCTGCTTGGCTGAATGGCGACTTTTGCTTCCTCTACTTCCTCTACTGATTGGTGAGTGTGCTAGAAAAAACTTTGTGAATTTTCTTATTGTAAATTTCATGTCCATTGCAAATTGCTTTGTGGGATAAATAACTTTATATTTTCCCTTTCCACTGGACTTAAAAATAACAAAATATTTTCCACTCTATAGCTTATTGCTCTAATTTCTTATTCTTTCAGATTGTAGCAACTGGTGATTAGGCAATTGAAGCTTTCAATTAAAAATAACTTTAAATATTTTCATTTTTCACTGGATGTGTAAATGTTTCAATTAAAAATTAACTAAATATTTTCCACTCTATAGCTTATTGCTCTAATTTCTTATTCTTTCAGATTGTAGCAACTGGTGATTAGGCAATTGAAGCTTTATTTCAAATAAATATTTTTTGTAATTCATTTTTCACTGGATGTGTAAATGTTTCAATTAAAAATTAACTAAATATTTTCCACTCTATAGCTTATTGCTCTAATTTCTTATTCTTTCAGATTGTAGCAACTGGTGATTAGGCAATTGAAGCTTTCAATTAAAAATAACTTTAAATATTTTCATTTTTCACTGGATGTGTAAATGTTTCAATTAAAAATTAACTAAATATTTTCCACTCTATAGCTTATTGCTCTAATTTCTTATTCTTTCAGATTGTAGCAACTGGTGATTAGGCAATTGAAGCTTTCAATTAAAAATAACTTTAAATATTTTCATTTTTCACTGGATGTGTAAATGTTTCAATTAAAAATTAACTAAATATTTTCCACTCTATAGCTTATTGCTCTAATTTCTTATTCTTTCAGATTGTAGCAACTGGTGATTAGGCAATTGAAGCTTTCAATTAAAAATAACTTTAAATATTTTCATTTTTCACTGGATGTGTAAATGTTTCAATTAAAAATTAACTAAACAAAAAAAAAAGCGCCCTCGAATAGAAAAAGGCCCTAAATATGACTAAGTTATTTGGCCACAATAATCTGTCCGGTTCTGATAAAAATAGTGAAGAAAATCGCCCTAAATAGCCATTTTAATTCAAAGTTTTTTAGGGTCTCTTAACTGTCAATGGCAGTAAGCGCCCTCTAACATCCAAGTTTTTCAGAATACTGTAGCATAAAAACTGGCTATTAGAGGGCACTACCACCTTATTAATTAAATTAATGACAAATAAGCGACCACCGAAAAACGTTGAACTAAAATGGCTATAGAGGGCGGTTTTCAGCACCACACAGGACCCCTTTAAATAATTTTAGAGACCCTGGAAATTTTGGCTTTCTATCGGAGGGCGCCCTTCAGCACCACTTTTAATAGGTGAAGGAAAAATTAGCCTTTTTCTATTGGAGGGCGCTTTTTTCATCTTACCTGCATCCATCAGTCAAGCCATCAGTTTTCAAACTTGAACAGCAAAGAAACACCAACACACTACTGATTTTTTTTTTCTATTATCTTCGTAACCAAAATCGCGTAATGAAAATTATTAGGCATCAACAATGCATTATATGGAAAGTTAAAATGCAAGTAAAATAGTAGTTTTCTGGTTCTCTTAGTATTAATCAGTTCATACCTTCTGTACAATAAAGCAATTGTCGTCTTGATGCTGCAACAACTTACCTGCAACAACATCTACCAGTCTTCAAACTTGAACAGCAAAGAAAAGTCAACACACTACTTTTATTTTTTATTATCTTCATAACCAAAATCACATAATGTAAATATTAGTCATCAACAATTCATTATATAGAAAGTTAAAATGCTCTGCTAGTAATCATAGTAGTTTTCTGGTTCTCTGGTCTGATTGTAATTAACCAGTTTATATCTTCTGTACAATATACTCAGTTTTTTTTCAGAATTAAGCAACTGTTGTCTTAATGCTGCAACAAATACAACCGCTTTCACCGGGATTACGGCATCACAATATTCAGCAAGATGTTAGCAAAACTTCTGTATTTTATTAGTCATGGCAAATTAAATTAAATTAAATTGCCTATATTAGACAAAATTAATTATAATAGGTTTCTTTTCCTTTTCTTCTGCAGCAGTACTTTTCCTGTCTTGCAACTGTGTTGTTGCATCCACCAAAAATAGATTCTAAAAAATTAGACACAAACACGAATTAAACAAAATTAAAGGTAACAATAAAGTTAATAATTTCATAAAGCTTCAGTATAGTTCACTTAATACTTACAGTATTATTATTTCTTTGATGTATCAAAAGTTACTTATCATCTTGCAGAGAGTTGTTTGTCTGTCTGCAAAACGTATAAAACAATATAAAAAAATATAAAACAGGTATTGTTTTTGTATTCTCAGTGACTTTCACAAATATTCGTTTGGGAAAGCGCAAGCTCAGTGTTGTAGTGGTTAAGCACCAGGCTAGTTATCTGGTGTGTAAATCCCATTTCCATGTATCAGTGAGTACTGCAATGTCATTCAATGCCGTTTTTTTTTATGTTAGGAATGTTTTAGTTCATCATACTGAATGCTCAGCATGTTCCATAATACAGTACTTGCAAATAAAATCATTTGGGTAGGAATTGAACAACTGAGCTTATGCTATAGTGGCTTTGTGTTGAATCTGATTTAAGCAAAATAAATCTTGCAAGAGTCCAATTTCCAAGTAGCATCAAGTAAGCCTACTGTGATGCTTTTCAATTATTTTATTTTATTCCGAACACCATCAAATATAATTCTCACAAACAGTATTGTGTTGCCCCATCAATATGCACCCTTGTCAAACAGGCATGATTTCATATGCTTTGACACTTTAACATTGACTGGATGCTCCCATACCTTCCTTTACCAGGATTATCGCAATATTCAGTAAATATTCTAACAAAACTTCAGTACACTTTTCACGACTTGCCACATGGGTCATGATCTGTTGCTTCATTTGCCAAAAAAAAAAAAAAGATAACAAGAAACAGTAAGGTTGAGACATGATAATTTTAAGGAACGAAGAAATTATATCATCAGTCAGAAGATTCAATGGACTTGCTTTATTATTTGTTTTTTGTTTTATGGGGTAGAAATAGGGAAGGTCCCACCACTACAGTTAGGCATTATCTCAGACCTCCATGGCTGTTTTACGTAGGACATGGCTGGCGCAACCGAGGGACTGGAGCCCCCACTTTTTGGCAGAAAATATATCATGTCTATGGAGATTTTTTTATGAATAATTTTCATCAGCGCAGACCTGCCAACCATTTGAGTCATGGAAATCTGTAGGTTTTTTAAGAATCTTAAAAATCAGGAGATTTTTCAGCGTCTACAAGTATATAAAATGTACAGGCCTGCCTGATCACATAAAAAATCCTTTTCGAAACAAGCCGCGTTCGTCCGCCCGAGACTATTTCCACCATGCCATGCACACCTACAAAGAAACTGACTCGTATTGTTTGATAACGGAACTTAAAAGTCTAAAAAAAACTATTTCACTTAATACTTACAGTATTATTATTTCTTTGATGTATCAAAAGTTACTTATCATCTTGCAGAGAGTTGTTTGTCGTCTGCAAAAAAAATATAAAACAGTTATTGTTTTTGTATTCTCAGTGACTTTCACAAATACTGATTTGGGAAAGCGCAAGCTCAGTGTTGTAGTGGTTAAGCACCAGGCTAGTTATCTGGTGTGTAAATCCCATTTCCATGTACCAGTGAGTACTGTAATGCCATTCAACGCCGTTTTTTAATATTAGGAATGGTTTAGTTCATCATACTGAATGCTCAGCATGTTCCATAATACTTGCAAATAAAATCATTTGGGTAGGAATTGAACAACTGAGCTTATGCTATAGTGGCATTGGGTCATGGAAATCTGTAGGTTTTTTAAGAATCTTAAAAAATCTTGAGATTTACCGAAAAATCTGGAGGTTTCCAGAATTAACCAAAAGATGATTCAAGACACCAAAAAAGTCACTTCACTACATAGAGCTATTAAACAACTAGAGTGCTGACAAGATGGCGAAGCAATGCAGAGTTATGTATGTGTACCATCCAAGATGGCCGTCGTAGTAAAACGCCACCTTCAGGCTTAGTATACATATTATTACCATAAATAAGCCATCTGACTGACTATTATTTCATTAATGATAATGAGTAATGGTAATAACAAATTATTAAACTATTGTAGCCAAAACAATGCCAAGTGGAGCATCTTATTCAAAAATAAAGTACTAAGGAACGAAAATTAAAATCGTGTACATTACACCCATACACCACAACGCTCGAGTTTCAAAAATACGAGTAACTAGCGCTGTACTGAACTTTCTGTGTAAATTGAGGGCGCAATTGCAAATGATGGTGCTTAGGTGAAATTTGATTGGCTAAATCTATGGCAGCCATCTTGGATGGTACACACACACAGCTCTGCGTATTTCGAACGTCGAATACATTGCAGTTAGCGCTCTAGTATTCTTATTATATCTCTATGCTTCAATACAAATCATTGGCCGTTGGTGGCGAAATTCAAATTGAAAATGGCTGCTTGTTTATTGCATACAATGAATAATAACGATCAAATTATGCATAAATCGGAGTATTTTTTGGGGAGGGGGTGGCCTGTGAAATCGGGTGAAAATTACATTCGATCGGGAGAATTGGAGATTTGTTTAAATATCGGGTGACTCGACCGATCGGGTGAGTTGGCAGGTCTGTCAGCGTGTACAAGTATATAAAATGCACAGGCCTGCCTAATCACATCAAAAATCCTTTTCGAAACAAGCCGCGTTCGTCCGCCCGAGACTATTTCCACCATGCCATGCACACCTACAAAGAAACTGACTTGTATTGTTTGATAACAAAACTTAATAGTCTAAAAAAAATACAAATTGCAATTGTTTTATTTAACACATACAATACATAGGCCTACTTCGTTTTGTTGATACGGACATCACAAATATATCTCATAATCATAAAACAATGGCGTTTTTTTGGTGGCTAAAATACAGCTTGTCCACAATATCCGTCGTCAACTCATCTCAAGTGGTTCTCCGGAATTCACAAATTACTACAAAGGTGGGTGCGTCCAGGATATTAGGTGAAAATGGCCACAAGAATTACTAAAGTTAAATTATTGGAATAAATAATCTTTATCCAAGGGTATAAATAGAGATTATATATTTGCACATTGACGTGTACACAGACACATACGAAAGGCATCGAAATTATATAAAAACATTAAAAAGGATATTGACTTGGAAAACATTTAAGGATAAAAACACAGGAAAGTACAAAAAGCAACTTATGTCCACCGTGGTCCCCAAATGAGAATACTAAAATACCAGAAAAATAATAATAGAACTATAAATATGGAAACAATACAATAAATACATTTTATAAATACTAAAGGAAATTCAATTTTGAAACATCATCAAATTTAAACTGTATTGTATTATGAAGTTCAGATATATAATGGTCCTTCATGAGTTCCTAACAGTACCATTATTAAGAGTGTTTTTCATCTTGCTAGTCAGTTGTCCAGGTAACACAAAACAAATACCTGTGGAAACTGGCAATCTCTTATTAAATTGTACAAGCTGCGCTCATAATAGAAAGAAAATGCCCACATGTAGGCGTTACCTGACAACCCTCTTCATCTATGCAGCAGCAGCAATGATGCTACTTTCCTTTCAACCTATGTCTGGTTTATATTCATCCACTTCGGGATCTTCGTTACTACCTTCTTCATGGAAACTAGATTTCGGTTGACATGTCTTGGAATAAAATAAGCCGGCACATTTGTCTGTAATGCCTGCAAGTTCTGGCAACGTGTCCAACTCCTATAACAATTATTATTGGATTAGACAATGTTAAAAAGTAACAATTTTTTCCAATACCTACTGTACTTGACACAAATAACAAGTTACAGGAGTGGGTTAGCTTACCATTTGAGATGGGAATGGAGCTCTCACACTAGGGTGTACTGGTTTTGTGGTTGCATTTAGTACGGCTTTTAAAACTGGATTCCTAATGCGAACATTTCTAAACAGGCTTCAACGTACTACTTCGGAATTTCAGCTATAGCATTAAAAAAAGGTTCTCGGCTGACTTTTCCAAAGTAAAAGTACCTATACTCACGTCAACATCCATCTGTAAACTGTTCTCGTAGCAAAATGTCATAACTAGTCTGCATCTGCTAATTATATCCATCTAGTCAAAACATTTTTCAAATTGGCGCAAATTAATGCCCACTTTCTCCAGCTTCAGGTCATGCAAGATGTAGATGTTGAAACCCATCATGTCAACTGGAAATGCTTCAATAGAGCAGTTTAAGTAATCTGTAATCATTTTCTTCGACTGTAGATAACCTAAAATAAACTTAAAGAGATTTTCCTGTTAATAAAGAACTTAAAGAACCGGCCAAATCACGTGGCATACATTTCATGTCGTTTTAAATAAGAATCCAGATCATTCTTACCTTCATTAAATGCTGGTCTGCTTGCCTTAACTTTGGATGATTTAGTTTCGGGGACACGTAATATTCTGCCCGACTTAGGTTTGTTTTTTTCATCAGTGTGCTTGTATAGTATTATTTCCTGGACGAGTAGTCCCCAAATATGTCACACAGCCTCTCAGAAGCTATCTGACAAAGATCCGAACATACTCAAGAGACACAAAAGTTCACAACACAAATAATTATCAAATATGTTTACTGATATATTTCTGAGAAAGTGCACCCACCAGCCTAGCGTTGGGGAATCAAGTGGGGCCGATGAATATAACACAATCTTAGGGGGTACATTTTTTGCGATCAGTGTTTTCTTTTTTTTTTTTTTTTTTTTTTTGGCTTTCTAAAAGGAATGGGACAGTAAATCCTCCCCCTGAATTCCATCATCATTAACATATGTTTTCAATCATCTCATTACCAAAGCAGTTAACAAATAATAATGGTTTAGCATCAATGCTGTAACACTACAACTTTATCCGTCGGACCTTCCAAAACTTTAAAGAAATATTATAATAATTTGTTCACGATTTCAAAATTTTCCTTATGGCCTTTTAGCTCTATCACATTAGATTTAATCATCTACAATATATATATATATATATATACATATATATATATATATATTAGTACGGTAGTTGAAATGACAACAAGGCATGTAGACTGTATATATATATGTATATATGTATACATATATATACATATTATATATATAGTATAATGTGTTATTTAGTATTTTCTTATTCTGTATTTAATGTGTTGGACCACAATGGAAATACGTTATAGAATTTTAAACAAATGAAATAAACAATTAGCCTATATAATAATAATAATAATAATAATAATAATAATAATAATAATAATAATAATATTTATTTGACATTACACTTTTACAACAACCTTAAATACTGAATAAAAAATGATTTCATGAGAAAATTGTATCTTTTATTTAGCAATTATAAAGTCATGATTTCGCGGTTCACATTTTTGTACCAACTAAAAATAACAAAATAATCAGCCTGGTAATTATTAATAATAATAATAATAATAATAATAATAATAATAATAATAATAATAATAATAAAACTTAAAAAACTTTATAAAAACTTATAAAGCGCCTATTAAAGTTAAAAAATAACTGCGCTAGGAGAAAAATTTAAAAACAGCAGTAGAAGAATTTCTTGAACTGATTAGCCAATGGAGGTTTTTTAGAATCCGGGTGAAATGAGGGAATTTCCTAGACATAGTGATAACACGGGCGGCAGAGTTCTAAAGAAGTTGAAGAAGCCTATGGTTACCAGAAGGCAAACCAAAAAGAAGCTAGTTACAAAAATCAATCTTAGATGTAATAAATGCATGTATTAATGTTGCAGTAGCAGAAGATGTAAGATAGGGCCTAATAGAACGGATTCTACGAAGATGGAAATAACCAGACTTACAGATAGACGAAATATAATTAGAGAAATCCAAATGCTTGTCAAAAATGACTCCAAGATTTCGAACATTATCAGAGGGGCTTAGAATAGTATCATTGCAGTTAATTTGAATATTAGAGACAGGCACAATCTACTTTAGAGAAGTAACAATAAGTTTAGTCTTACAAGTTTCATGAGTCAGGACTACTCATAAATTACAGTTAAACAGGATTCAAACAAGGTAATAGTTGCCTTGATGTCATTATCCTCGATGATTAATGCCTAAATTTCACTACAATCACGTAAAACATTATAATGAGCGATTACCATTGTTATAAAATTTTCGATACCAATTATAAAAATTTCGATACCAATATCGCTCCGAGTATCTTTCCTATTCTTCCTTCATTCTATTTCTTTTTTTTTGTATAGATTCACTAAATTTGTATAACTTATTAATGATTAAATAAGTTTTTAATTTAAATGTTGAGATTAAACCTAAATTATCAATAATAATTAATACTAACATATACTTAATACACATTTCCTATATTCAAAACCGAAGTTAGTTCTGGTCTTGTGCCAATGTCGGTCACTTAGCTTTCGTCGTTAAGGCTTCTACGAATGGATGTCCGTTGTGGAGCAGGAAATCAAGTAGTCCCTTCCAAGCACCACATGATTATAAATCGACGGGAAATATACCGATAGCTAATCATACTAAAATCAACGAAAACCTTGAAATAAAGAGATTCAGAGGCAAATATGAGAAGCAGAAAAACATGACGAAACAGTTTTAAAAAAAGATCATAACCAAAAAGAGGCGAAAAAATATGATTAGAAAAATTTAGTACACTTGTGGTTGGTGAATAATAATAAGGTGCGGAAAAATTGTAGACTATTTTCTTTGCACATTAGGAACTATTAAATTCAGGTACAAGAAATCATATTTCATAAATTACTATCTTTATGTCTTATGATAACGCTTTAATTAATTGTACCTTGCTTGATGAAGTTGTATTATTTTAGGTACAACCATGTTAATGTATGATTTATAGATAAGATTGATAAACTTTAGTTTATTATGTTAATTATTTTGAATACTCAGTGTAAAAAGTTTGGTCTCATGGTCCAGTTATAGCTTATTAAAGATTGCTTATTAAAAAAACCCTAATTTCAAATATCTAATACTGTAATAACTAAAAATTATGAAATACAGATTAGTACAAGTAAAACAACTTTTACTTGTACTAGCTCTGGACGTATGGGCATTTATAATGCGCCTCTTCCCTTGAGGTCATATAAGGCAGTTCTTTTCCCTGATCATTGGGTCCACGTGTTTTAACCCTTTCACTGTGCATACCCGGTAGTAACGGGTAGGGAAAAAATGTAGTAGTTGAATTGCGAGTCTCCGGTAGTACCGGGTATTTGAAAATAATCTTTTAAATATCAGCCTGGAGTGCACGCGCCCTCTATAGTTTTTTTTAACAATCGATGATTTCCACGTTGAAAATCGTGTGGTATAGGCTGTAAAATGGCGGGGAAATGGCCTCACAACAGGCGATACGATGTAAAAAAATTATGGACCAGATCTTTTTTAAATTGATTGATACTAATAATGAAATATAATGTTTGTTTTGATATTACAAAAGGCAACCAATACTTAAACTGATGTATTTACAAGACATATCCATTGTGCTAACACTAATTAGACCAGGTTATACATAATGATTTCTGCGAGGAATGTTTAACTTATATTTTCCGTTTAATCATATTACACAATAGGAGATTTTTATTCTGCAATATCCAAACAAAATGTATAGGCTGTAAAATGGCGGGGAAATGGCCTCACAACAGGCGATACGATGTTAAAAAAGTTATGGACCAGATCTTTTTTAAATTGATTGATACTAATAATGAAATATAATGTTTGTTTTGATATTACAAAAGGCAACCAATACTTAAACTGATGTATTTACAAGACATATCCATTGTGCTAACACTAATCAGACCAGGATATACATAATGATTTCTGCGAGGAATGTTTAACTTATATTTTCCGTTTAATCATATTACACAATAGGAGATTTTTATTCTGCTATATCCAAACAAAATTTAAATGACGATGTTTCTGATACTCTATTGTATGAAAATTTTAACCCTGTAAACTTTAATAGAGAACTTCAGGATAATAATGCTTCAAATAACTTTAATAATTATCCTTCCAATTACACTATGCCGAATTTAAACTCACAATTCCAAAACCTAAGTTAGCCATATTACACATCAATGCTCGTAGTACGAGGAATACATTTGATGGTTTATATGATCTTCTTGGAACATGGGAACAAAATGTTAGTTGAAAGAACATGAATATTCTCTGTACCAACTACCACAATACAAATTATTTCACTCTGAACAAAAATCAAAACAGGGTGGTGGTGTTGCGCTATACATAAACGATAATTACTATGTTAGAACTAGACATTATGATGCCCTTAAACAAATTGCTAAGAATGTGAATCTGTTGAAGTACAAAATGGATATAGCAAAAATATTGTTTTTGGTGTAATCTATAGACCGCCTGGGAATAATGCACTTTCATTTGTTGAAAATTTTGACAATTTGCTACAGCAAATCACTGCTGAAAACAAAGAATGTTACGTCATAAAGAATGTTACTTAATCATTAAAATCATGAGGGCTACTTGGGAGATTGTAGATGCAATCACGTCATCCTATTGGTATTCCTTAATAAATAAGCCAACAAGCTTCTTCAACGGCTGCCCTTATAGATAATATTATCACTAATGTCATTGATGGAAAAACTGAAGAGGGCATTTCGATAACGATCTAAATGACCACCTTCCAATATACTCCATCACTGACATTAAAACAAAAAAATTACCACAGTATAACAATACTTAACAAGTAATAAATAATCTAACTCTCAACAAACTTTATCTCTTTAAAGAAAAATTGGACTCCATCTACAATAAAAGAAACGCTTTATTGTTTTACTTCTAAGCTCAATGAGCACATTATTAAGAATATTCTTATTTGAAATACTCATACTAAAATAAAATTATTCAAAGAAACCCATGGATTACGAACTGTATTCTAAAATCTATTAAACGCAAAATCTCCCTTTACCGAAAATTATCGAATCGCGAACTACTGTTGACCATAATAAATATAATAAATGTCGCAATATTCTCATCAAAGTGCTCCAGGTTGCCAAGATACATATTACTACAATAAATTTCAAACGCTTTCAAACAATGTTAAATGCACTTGGAAATTGATTAATTCTGTTTTACTGTAGGCAAATCGAACAAAGGATCCTTTCCTGATACCTTCAATATTAATAATTTAAACACTACTAAACCTAAATTAATTTCCAAAACTTTCAACTCGAACTTTACAAACGTTGGTGAAAATATAGCTAAATAGATTCCAACTGTTCCAAATTCAAACATTTCTGAATTTCTCCAGAACTGTACTAAATCAATGTTTACGAATCCAGTAGCACCGGAAGAAATTCGGCAAATTGTAATGAAATGTGATGATACTAGTCCTGGTTATGATTGAAATAAATCAAAGATTGTAAAACATTTTGCTATATTCATTATTGGTTCACTGACTCATATTATGAATTGTTCCATCACCCACGGTGTTGTCTTGGATGAAATGAAAGTAGTTAAAATTGTGCCAATCTATAAAAGTTGCGATCTTCAAAATAATGAAAATTATCGTCCTATATCAATTCTTGTTTTTCAGGTATTAGAACGTGTAGTAATATAATCGCCTTCTTAATTATCTTGAGATAAACAACTTTTTATCAAATAAACAATACGCTTTTAGACAAACCCGCTCCATTGACCTACCCTTAATCGAAATGGTTGAGGGGGATTACTGCAGGAATAAGGTCCACTGATACATTTCATTTTAACTATTGTACTATTATCTGGGGAAATTACAAAAAAAAAAGCTATGCGCATTGCTAATGGAAGTCATTACAATGCACATGCCCTCCCACTCTTCAGACATGCTCGGTACCAACTGTTTCTGATATATTTTGTAAAATACAAAACTTAATGTTCACGTATTAATCACTGAATAGAATTTTACTTTCGTATTTCAATATTATTTCCAATTGTGTGCTAACACTTATAACACACAAAATTGTGTATCTACAAACCGATATTTAGATCAGGACTAAGACAACATAGTGTTCGGTGGGTTGGAGAGGTTCATTGGAAAGAGTTTTGCGAAAAATATAAGCAAGTTTCAAGCATATCACTATTTAAAAAATTGATTATTTATTGCATATTAAAGTCATATGTCTAAATTTGAATAAATTAATTAATAAATCAAACATAATTTTGTTACATTATTACAATATTATCATTTGACTGAAAGAAATGTAATTTATAAATATTATTACTATTATTAAGCTTTTGCTATATTTAGGTCCCCACTTGTACTTATATTGTTTCTATTTTATATTGTGCGATTTAATGAAATAAAGAATAAATAATATTCCTTTTATGTATTTTCATCGATATCCAGTTAAAAAAAAACAGCGTTTCGTAAGAATTTCTTGGAGAAAAAGTAGTTTGTTTCACAGAATTTATGAAAAAGTAATATCCAATAGGGCCAAGGGGGTCACATGACCACCTAATTATGAAAAATTCCAAATTTCAATTTTCACCCCATAAGCCAACCTCTTGTCCACTCAAACAAAAGAAATTCAAAATAACCTCTTAGTATTTTTTTGGCATTATTTGAAATTCGCCTTTTTTCGTTAAAATAAAATAGACCAGCACAGGAGGTGTATTTACCTGCAGCAGTGAAAGGGTTAGGTGTTGCTGCTGGTAATCAGCGCAGGAGCAAACAACCCCACCAGGTACCCATTTTTACTCCTGGGTGGAAAGAAGCAATGGAGATAAAATTTCTTGCTCCAAGAAACAAACGAAAAAAAAAATCACACTCAAGTACTTAAAATCCACCTAAAATCATCTTATTTGCGTGCTAGCGCCCCAAACCTGTAGCCAGGTTTGGGGCGCTAGCATTTTCAGAAATGCCCTTTTAAATTACTATTAAAATGTACCATTTGCATGAAGTTGATGAAATAACTCAAAGTGCCCTTTCGTGAAAAATTAAATCCCGCCTCACCCAATCATAAAGCACCCACTTCACCTTTTCATGCTGCCCCCTTCCAATTACCCTCTCATTTCAAGACTCCTAGATGCACCACTGGACTGGCATTCAGATATTAGTTAATAAAATATTTTCTATTTATGTGGCCTACGAAGGAAATTATTGAATAGTAGTGCTCTATAATCACAACTGTTCTTGTCAAAATTACCCAGCTCATTCCGAGTTTATTTAAACCCCACCATGCCAACATGCACACACTCTACAAAGAAACCCACTCGTATTGTTTGGCGTAACGGGTATTTAAAATAAACTTTCAAGTTACAATTGATTATGCAACTTACCTTAGTAGTTTTGTTGATATATACATCACGGAAATACCCTATAAATTATCGAGTTTTTCTAGAATGCAGCCTATCAACCATATCCGCCATTGGTTCAAGTGGTTCTTTTGGTATTTTTGGCAGTCTACACAGGTGGTGCGTCCACAATATTAAGTGAAAATGGTCGGCCACAATAAGAACGCTGAAGCAAGTACTATCCCTGTATTATAAGTTATGAAAATGTATTAGTCCAGCATGCTTTTGTCAATTTTACTTGACACTGAAGCGTACAACTATATAAAAACACATTAAAAAGTCTGGTCTAAAAAACCCCAGCGTCCGTCAGAATGTATTTACACCATGCCATCCACACCTACATTGAAACTGACTCACATTATTGGGTAACGGAACTTAAAAATCTTTTAATACTTAGGCCTACCTTAGTAGTTTTGTTGATACGTAGATCACGAATATACCTTGGGCCTATAATCATAAACAAAATATGGTGTTACTTGTGCTAAAATACACCTTGTCCACCATTCCCGTCGTCACGTCAATTCAAGTCACGCGGTTCTCTGGAATTTCAAAATTCACGCTCCGCTACATACACAGGTGGTATTAAGTTCAGGATATTAGGTGAAAATGGCCACAGGACCACAACATTTTAATGCCGTTAATGGTCTTAAATAATAATAATGATAATGATAATAATAATAATAATAATAATAATAATAATAATAATAATAATAATAATAATAATAAA